ATTCTTCTTCCCTTTTATCACACAACGCCTTACAATAAGGAGGTAGGCACCCTTATCGGTTGTCTTCCTCCATTAGAACACCAACTTCTTAAGATCAAGACCTCTAGTTCTATCTACATCCCTAGCATGCTTAGCACAGTACCTGACACGTAGTGTTTAATCAATGTTTTACCAATCTATCTAATTAATGTCTATTAGATTGGATCACTCAATACATTTTTGGAGTACCTATGGAAATGGAATTCAGAAAGTATTTCACATCCTCTTAAATGTGCACAATGGTGGCGAATCTTCATCCCTGGAGGGTGGAATGATTTATGAAAATGTCATTCAGTGCTAGATCTAGTGAGCAAGGTGTGTGACTTGGCTGGACAGTACGGTTTGAGGTCAAAAGCAAGGTGGAAAAATCAAGTAAGGAGACAGTTTCTCTTAAAGAACCTGCAAACTAACCCCTTTGACTGCCAGGGTTCCAGCAGGGTTGTTAAAAAGAAGACATGTCTGCACTTTACACTCAGGCCACCCTAACAGAGATTTGCAAAATCATTTGAGAGCATCAGGTGAGAGGAGAGTATTTCCTTCCATATCTCTAAGTGTTGAACGTGTACAACCAATTCCAGATTCAATAATATGACTGAGAAAGCTTATCTGCAGGGCTGGAAAAGAAAAAGAAAAAAGAAAACAGAACAGTGTAGAGTAGCATAATATTTTAAGAGACCTAGAAGGAGGACAATCAATGGTCATGCATCATTGTTGAGATGGCACTCGATAGAACATGCCAGGTGAGCAAACCTAATGGATTCCATGCAGCTTCTTCCTGAACTGAGAGAGAGACACACATGGGGACAGATTTGCTCGGACTGATATTCAGTCCATCTGACTGAAGTCGTTCTGTTCTTATGGGTAATAGAAGAAGTGGACAGAATCCATGGGAGCCAAGTGCATTGCACAAAGATTTATCTTTGATTCACTGTAAGTCTGAGTGTACAGAGGGATTTCTGCCCTAGGCATTGCTAAAATGACAGTCAGAAGAGACCTTAGTTTGAATCCTGCCTCAGATGCTTTGTGACCCCAGGCAAGTGACTTATCTCTCAATCTTAGTTTGCTCATCTGTAAAATGGATTAATAACAACTAAAGTACTTACCTCATAGGGTTACAGATTTTGAGCTGGTCATTGAATCAAACCCCCTCATTTTACAGATGAGGAAGCTGAGGTCCAAAGGTGAAGTGATTTGTCCGGAGTCACATAGGAAATAAAGAGTAGAGCTGGGATTCAGACAACCCAGGGTGCCCTGACTCCAAAGCTACTCTCCTTTCTACTGCACCAAGCAGCCTCTAATATGTGGGAAATGCTTTGAATTCAATGCCTTGAAATGCTGCAGGAATGTTAGTCACTATTTGTGTCTTTGATGAATTTCTGATTTGTTAACAGAAGTAGGATGGGATGTGGGACAGCTCCCAGGACAGAAAAGCTGCTCCCAGATTTAAAATGACACAATGGGATAAAAAACGGGCTCCACATACACCAAAACATTTATAACCACATTTTTGGTGGCAACCAAGAACTATAAACAAAGAGAGGCCCATCATTTGGGGAAGACCTAAACAGCATGTGGTCCATGAACGTAATGGAATAGCACTGTGCTGAAGAAATGGTGAACAGGAAGAATGCAGAAGAGCTCTTCCCATTCGGGTCGTGGCTCCATATCCAGACACGGCACGGGTTTGAAGGAAAGAGGAGAGCATGGTGCAGTTTGAGCAAGTCTGTGCCAACATGGGGATGCTACTCAAGGGCATTGACAGGTATTAACACGTCAGCTGGGGACCAACCACTTTTTGTTTTTATATTAAATGCTTGCTGATGCATTGATTGTGGTAAGGTAGAAGGACAGGTGGTCCTGGGCTCAAAAGACCCGAGTTCAAATTCTACTACAAGGTTACCTGGGTAACCTTGGGTGTGTCACCTCTGCCCTCTGGGCTAATTCCATTTCCTCACTTATAAAATAAGGGAGCTGGACCAGATGAGCTCTGAGGGTCCGAATCTACAATTCTATTTTCTTATTTTTAGGGTACAGTGAGGAGATGGACCTAACTGTAACAGAAGGTGCTTGTGGGAAACGAGGAAAGAGCATTGGCTTCCCAGGACCAGACCCCAAGCCTTTGCCCTTCTTCTGTCAGGGTCAGGGTGGGTGGGTCTTGGATCCAGATAAACAGAAGGCTTTCTCTTTTTTGAAACTGCATTAAGGGGGCAGCTAGGTGACTTAGTGGATAGAGCACCAGCCCTGGAGTCAGGAGGACCTGAGTTCAAATCCGGCCTCAGACACATAATACTTCCTAGCTGTGTGACTCTGGGCAAGTCGCTTAACCCCAATTGCCTCACTAAAAAAAAAGAAAGAAAAAGAAAATGTATTAAGGAAAGAAGCTGCTTGGTTTGGTTCATGGGACAGCCCCAGTCTGAGGCTGAGGGAGGCCTGAGGAGCTGCAGGGATTCTTGCCTCCTCTTGTCTCTCCACGTCCCTGTTTTATGCAACCCCTATTTCTTCAAGTATTTATTAATAAATATGGCTGCCTCCCCCCCAACTCCAGCACTTCATAGGTCTACCTGTAAATAAAGTCCTTGTTGTATTTGGAAAAAAAAAAAACCCACCAGCCTTAGTGTGATGACAGCCTGGATTTTAGTCCTAGCTCTGTCAATCACATCTTGGGCCTTGTGGACATAATGAAGGCATTAGAACAAATAGTATTTCAGGTCGCCTTTACCTCAGTGTCTATGATCCCCCAACCCAAGTGACCTTGGGCAAATCATTCTGCTACCCGGGGCTTCATTTGGACTTCATGATCTCTGAGGTCCCTTCCTGCTCTAAGATTCCATGTCCTAATTGAATTCCTACCCTCTACCTCCCTGCAGGCTCCTACATTGAGATTTGTCTTAATATCTCAAGGACCAAGGTATCAACTAGGTAAAGTGATAAATTAACTGTTGTGGCAGTAAAACTAATTTTTACCCGTGGCCTTCTGTAAATAATTCCCCTAGCCTCTTCTGGATTCTACACAACTCCCTCCCACCCCCTACTTCTCTATCCACATAAATAAAAATCCAGTCCCACAAACCTTTTGTGAATCTACAGTTGAGAGTCAAGTAGGATAGGAGGGGATGGTAGCACCAAGGCAAGAAAGCTGGAGACACAGGCAGTTGGGCTTTGCCTTGGCTTGGACCACAATATGGAGTGTTATGTTGTGTTCTAGTTGCCTCCTTTTAGAAAGAGGATTGAAAAATCTGAGGATTGGTCAGAGAAGGGCAACCATCCCAGATGGCAAGGAGCTGGAGAAGAGAAGACTAAAGGGGTAGATGATAGCTGTGTTCATGTATTTAAAAGGTGGTCAGGGTGGAGAGATGTGGGGATCGTTCTATATGGATCCGGAGGGCAGAACTAGGGCCATGAGTGGAAGGTACGAGGAGGCAGATTTTGGTTTAATGGGAGGGCAGAGGCAAGGTTAGTGTGGATGCTTCCATGAAAGCAAAAACAAGAGGATTTAACAAAACAAAAAAAATAACAACCCTTCCTCTTTTCTTTCTCCCCACCCCCACAAGAAAAAAATAATCCAACAACTGGAGCTAAGCTTGCTTGAGCTACTTCATCATGTATAGTCCCACGACAAGGGGCCCAATCCAGTGTGCACATGCGCGTGCGTGCACACACACACGCGCGTGCGTGCACACACACACACACACACTCAATATTAGCCACACAAAACATTAGAGTTAAATGACTCAGTATAACTGGAAAAATAATTGTCTCTTGTAGCTGGGATTTCTCTCAAAGGCAGTCCTAGAAATGAGCTCAAAGTTTTCACACAACTGAAACAGGGTTGGGTTACTAAGTGGAATAGAAATGTATATTTAATCATGTCTTTTCAAAATGGCGGCCCTCCTTCCAATATCCCAACCAAAGGAATCCATTTATATTAAGACAGATTATTTTAAATACTAGGGTTTCCTTCCCCTTTCCTCTGTACCCCTATCTCATACTCTGCTATTCCCAAGGTCATTGCCTTTGCTTCAGATTTGGAAGAAGGGACCCTTTTGCTTTCCTTTGTATCCTCAGTACTTAGCACAGTGCCTGGTACGTAGTAGAAATTTAATAAATGCTTGTTGCCTTCATTAGACTTGCCTTGATTTTTCCTTGGGGAAAAGGTATTGTTTTTATGTAAAATACCTTATTGGATATAAGCATACCCCAAACATCCTGGGCCAGTGATTATGCAATTAATTGTTGTAACCAAACCACACCTTGAACATCAAGGAAATCATGCTGAAATATCATTTAACTGAACGCCCAATGCAATGAGGGATAGTGAAAAGAGCAGGGGTTGGGCTTGGATCCCAGACAACTAAGGGGCAAATCCCCAATTCTGACACTGAGCTATGAGACCCTGGGAAACTTACTTACCAATTATATGCCTCAGGCACTTCCCTAAGGCTTACCTACAGCATCCTGTGGGGTTATTCTCACAGAATCATAGATACAGAGCTGGAAGCAACTTTAGAATCCAACTCCCTCATTTTACAGATGAGGAAGCAGAAATATCAAAAAGTGTCAGATGATTTGCCCCTGGTCACACAAGCTAGCAAGCACTTGAGGCAGGATTTGAACTCAGGTCTTCTTGACTCCAAGTCCATCATTCTCTCCACTCCACAGTCAGCTGCCTAAGAGTTCCCACCCCAGAAGTTCCCTTCACTGACACAATCACAGATCCTTTCCACATTCATGATCATGTATACTCCATCCTCATTCCCAAGATTATTTTTTTTTTCCCTAAATGACATGTATTTTGCCTGGACACTTCTGCATTATCCCTTGAACACAAATTAAGATGCTTATTTTTTTTTTGTCATCAAACATTTATTGCAAATATTCAGACAAAAATCTTTTAGCTACATGACAACAATACAGAGGAAACCAAACTGTAAATTCGTTTTATTTAACTGAGAAATGCTCAGGTTATAAATAGAGGTCCACGCAACGCCATGCACTGTACTCATTGCATCTGAATCAGTTTTTCTTCTCTAAAACAAACCCCAAAAAAGTGCTTAAGGAAACCCTGACACAAACTCCAAAATGATTTTTTTTCACATACCCATAAAAGAAGTCCATTGCAATCTCACATAAATTATCACCTGAGGTATTCATGCAGATTACTGTAGCAGAAAGAATATTTGAATCTCGAAAGGTAAAATGAGCACGTCCCCACCCTCAAAGGACCTAAAATTTGGAAGAACAGATCATCTCCCCCAAAACGACTGGAGACACAATGAATCTCTTCAATCAGAAAGCACTTGCATCCAAATGAGGGTCGGCTCCTTTCTCCCCAGACCGCTGTCTCGCTGTTGTTTGCAAATCTTGCCTAGAAGGTGTGTGGAATTTGAATTCTCTTGGATGCAATGTGAGGCCCAAACCCTCAACCAGACAAATCTTTATCTTCACCTAAATCTTGCAAAAACAAATTGAGACAGAAATAAATTCCAGTTCACCTGGTAAAAAAAAAAAAAAAGACATATGTTTCTCCTGCTCTAGCATCTCTGTACATGTTTATTAATCCCAAACCACTTTTTGACCTCATGCCAAGCATTCATCAGTTTCCATCAAGCATTATCACCGTCTCTGCAGGGTGCCTTAGTGGGTTGATGTGTGAGCTCAGAGAATAATGCTTTGCTCTTCCCAGGTCCCAGTCCATGCTTCAAAAAGCAGCTCTGTTCGACGTGGTGAATTTCCCCAGAGTATGTTATTGCATTTACAAGAGGCATTGTTAAAAATAAAATTTGAGGAGGAAACAAGTGTAGAAGATATTGCAATCTCAACAATAGGGACACAACAACTAGATCTGTAGCCTTTCTGTGTATGGAAATGTTCCCTTGGCCAAATGTTCCTGGGGCTTAGCAAAAATGTGATTTGATTAGCAGATTATTGGAAAAGTTGGGCTATAAATCACACTGTTAGCCACATGCATTCAAAAGAGTTCCCACGGAGTCAGAGAACTAGAATTTGATATGAGAAAGAATCTACAGTCATGTAGCATACTATAAATGGAGAGAGACAAACATACAAGTTAATAGACCATATACCACGGCTATGTGATCATACAATGTTCCTACCCGTAGAGATTAAATAACTTTTACTGAAACGAGGACCTTATTTTTTGCGGTGGGGTCCAAAAAGCAAAGCTAACGGTTTTCATTGAAAATGCAAAGTTTAGGGGCAGCTAGGTGGCCCAGTTGATAGAGCACTGGCCCTGGAGTTGGGAGGACCTCAGTTCAAATCCAACCTCAGATACTTGACACTTACTAGCTGTGTGACCCTGGGGAAGTCACTTAACCCCAATTGTCTCACCAAAAACTAAAATAAAATAAATGCAAAGTTTAAAAAAAATAGGAAAGTGGAAAAATGAGGATGGCCCTGCAATTTCACTGTGATGAGGAACACTGATTGTGAAATTTCCATTCACCCATGCAGATCAGTGACTCTTCGTGAACTTACAGAATCAGAGGTCTTCCTGGAGTGTTGGGAGATAAAGTATCTCCCCCATGCTCTGCTACATACATAGGTAGTGAGAACCCATGTCTTTTCCATGCCAAGGCCATCCTCCTATCGACTATACACCACCGCCTCTTGATGGTAAAATGTATGCACATACTTTCATCAGCCAAATATATAAAGTCTTTTAACACACTGTGGGTCAACAGCAATGAGAACAGATTCCATATGAAAAGTCAGAGATGCCACCCTGGTCCAAGACCTAGAAGGGCACCAAAAACAGCAGTGGTAGACAATGGCACTGATCCATTGCTGACAAGTAAATTACAAAGCTCTGATATGTTGTATGAAAACCATGGCAATTACGGCCATGAAACACTTTTTTAAAGAAGAAAACCCTAATTAACAGTAACATATCATTATAAATTGCTAACACATAAAATCCCATGTCTACTACAAATTGCCAGGAAAGTGGCACATCTCTAGTTCTTTTTAAAAAAATAAACAACAAAAAAAGAAATGATGATATTCTAAGCAACCGAAAGGACTCTAGGTTTTAATGACCTTTCTTCAGCTTAATTCCCATTCGTTACTAGGTGGGTCCCAAATTTGCAAATTTACCTACAGAATTTTAATCCAGAAATTGTGAGCTCTTTTAAGTCAGCCTCATATCTCCTGCCCATTGAAGAGCTGGCAAGGTCATGATGATTTTGGTGAGTAGCCACTTAACATAGGAAAAAAAAAAGGTATTAGGGTATCTATGAGTGAAAATTTAATCACATGGAAAGTGAACAGGAGATAATAGAAGCAGCAGTCTACAATGGAAGAAAAACACCATATTAAACCTGGTTTTAGTGAGCTGAACCAGGTTTCTGATGGGGGAAAAAATGGCAGTCAAATTCAAAGCAAAGCATTTAACTGCACATATATATATATATATATATATATATATATATATATATATATGTCCAGGGAGCAATCTCACATTTTGAAAGCTTCCCTGACCTTGGGAAATCACAGAAATACTTCTTGGTACTGCAGAATGCCTTGATTACTTAAAAACAAACCAACAAACCAACCAAAAAATGCTGCATTTTCATAGATGCCCATTCTTTACCAAATTGTTGTAACTAAAGTCTTCCATAAAGCTCTACCCCTGACATGAGATAGTCTAATGTTTTTTAATTGCAATTTTTGTCTGGAAATGAATTCCCAAACTCCAAGCTTATGGACACAATGTAAAGTTAAAAATGGATTCAATTTCCCATGGGTTGAAAGGTGCCACTTTCATTGTAAAATGTTCAGATTGATATAGGCACATTTTGCAATGGCAGTCTTAAAATATAGCACTTCTACCTATATGTCACTGAATTTACAACTAGCCTTGTGCCTTTAAATAGTCAACTCCCCATTGTGGGTCTCATTCTCCTCTTTTGTAAAATGTGAAGCTCAGACTAGATTTTTAAAGTCCCTTCCAGCTCGCTAAGACTCTGTGTGCCAAATGGTATGTTAGTTGGTAAAGCGCTTTCAAAAGCATAAAACACCGGACAAATGTGACCCATGCCTGTGATTTCATCATATGTGGGGAATTCCTAATGGAAAAACTCCCTCCGCAGATGCTGATTGGTAATTATCTGTAACCAAGAGTCTGGGGCACTATGACTGGATGAATCAGAGGCAGGATTTGAATGTTTATGTTCTTGACTACAAGGCAGATCCCTCTTAGCTAGGCAAATGTGAGAAATTGCTATTTTGTGAAAGTGAACAATTCTTTGGAAATTTTGTTGACTAAAGTAAATGTGTGGAATATCACATAGGAAGACTGACTACCCAAATGAAATAAAAATAACATATAGTAATAATAATAAAAATGATAGTACAATGATATTATCATAAATGATTACAACAAATAAAATGTAAGCAGTGGGAACCATGAGAAGTCCCTGACTGGTTTTACAGATTCCTCTTCTGCATCTATAGCTTTTACATCTATGTTACTTAGACAAACATGTCGATCTCTCATCTCCTGTAACTGAACCTGAGTTACTGAACCTACTCAGGACCTGAGTTACTGAACCTTCAAAAGACTGACAGCCATTGTTTCCCTTCTAATCCTTTCAAACAGATCAATCCACTCAAACAGATCAATCCACTCATACTCAACCATTCATTAGACTGTGCTACACCATCTGTGACCTTCATAACAACTAACCATTTCTTGGAGGTGGTGATCCCCCAGGACAGATAGAGGTGAAGGCTACTACATGAGGGAAAATACCCATGGCAACCCAGTGGAAGAATGGTTTGAAAAACCTACTCTTAGGAAATTGCCCAATTTAGAATTCCATTGAATCAAGAATTTCCAGTGAGTCTTCTAGTCCAATGGATTCTTCAAAGCCTGCTTGTGCGTTGACAATAAGCCCAGCATTTTTCAAGGCATTATGGGCATTCATAAACTTCTGGAGGTATTTGGAGGTGTACAACCAATGGTGTTTCAGGACATCTTCCATTTCATAACACTTGGACTGTCTAGCATTCATTTTCCGGAAACGTCGGAAGAGTTTATTACCAGATTCATTCCCTTCACTGGCCCATGCTCCAATGGAGCCATCTCTCTCAATAATCTCAGGGACATGGGCCAGGGTCTTGTGAAAGTAATTGGTGATTTTGCCCTCATATCTGTACTGGAACTTGGTAGACAGCAGTTCTGCAAAACGTTGTGAATTGAAACTATACTGGCAAAGAGATTCTGGGCACTCTTTGGCTGGGCATGTCGAGCGCCACACAGGTTTCATCTTGAGGTAAAGGTCCATTAGCTCCCTCAAGGCCTCTTGTCTTTCCTCACAGTGAATTAACTCACACACTGCTTCCACAGTCTCCTTGGTCATGAGCTTCCTGGCAAAGTTGCCATTCATCCTCATGATGGGCTTCAAGTTCATTTTCTTCCGGAGGTGCTTGTCCAGGGTAGCCTGCCATCGTTTCCTTTCCTCTTTGGATGCGTTGGGATTCTTATAAACTTCCCCAATCTCCAGCTGGAAGAGCTTATAAAACTCAGCTGCATTGCCAATGTCACAGTGGAGAGCATCGATGGAAGGGACCGTCTCAATGAAAGGCTTTGCTGAGACCCCTTTCACCCTGTCTCTCAGCTCTTCTGCGGACTCCTGGTACGGGTTGGATCTCCAGACTTCATAACGTTCCAGATTCTCGGCATGGCTTCTAGTTATGGAGTGAAGGACGAGATTTTGGGAAGCTTCCAGCCGGGTGGCATCACAAAGGGTGCAGATGTAGACAGAACCAGAAGCCTCCAGGCCTTCAACTTCCCGGACGAGTTTTTCATCATAGCCAGTTCCTCTAAAGATGAATTTAAAAGTTCTTTGGATGCCTCCCATCTCCAGCAGTAATTCACTGCTCTTCATTGCCTCTCTCTCTGCAATGAGGGGACTCAGGATGGCGGTCAGGGTCTCATGGTCAGATTCATCTGCCAGCATGAGGCACAAGGGCTTACAGCACAGCTCTGAATTGGGCTTGGCTTCTTCAAATATCCTCACGCTGTCCTGACCGTGAGTGATGCTAATATTCATGATAGTGAACGAAAAACGAACAGCCTTCTCAGGCACAGCTGGCCCACTCCCGTGTTTCTCACTGACATCTCCCATCCCATCACAGGACTCCTTCACCACCACAGTGAAAGGGCCACTCAGGTAATCACCCAAGTCTTGGGATTTCATGCCTTCTAGGATGTCTTCTTCCATGTCCATCAAGGCAGACACCAGCGCTGCATCATAACGGAACCTCTTTGCAATGGTGTCCACTGGGTAGTCATCCACGGACGCAGACCACCCAGAAAGCCCATCAATGATGCCTATGTCTGGGCGAGCAGAGACATTCTTCAGAGGGGGCTTCCACTCAAATGGGTGGTATCCAGGCAGAAGGGTCTTCTCTGCATTCCGGAGGGAATGTAGAGGCTGGAAGATCTGCCTCCCAGTGATGGCTTTCACAGTCCGATACATCTTGTGGTACTGGCTACAGCTCAGAAAAGTGTTGACCCGGATGGCCAAGCACACAGCTGCCTGGAGGCCCGACCCTCTGCCCTGCATAATGGCCTCAAGCTCATCAGCTTGTCGATGCTCATTCCTCGCTCTCAGTACCAACAGGAACAAAGTCAGGCACACTGACTTCAAATCACCTCCTTCTTCTTTGTCTGCAAAAGCCTTGACCTGCAGCTTCAGTTCTCTTAGACGGTGTTTCTGAGCCCTTCTGGTCAGGGACAGGAGATGCTGCCGGGGCCGGCCGCCTTTATTAATGTACGCATAGGACTCTTTCGGTTTCTTGTGGCTGGAGATGTGCTGGTTGTATTTTTCAAGGCTGACCTCTTTGTCACAGTCTTTCACCGGGCATCTCACCACCAGGGAACTGAGGATGTTCACAAAGGACCTGACTGGGCCTTCCACATCCGTAGGGAAGCAAGGATATTGACAAGAAGGGCAATAGCTTCCCAGGACCTTGAGGTACCTCAAAATGCAGGTTCTGCAGAATAAATGCTTGCAGGTGGTTTCCACTGGGTCGGTCAAAATGTGCTCGCAAATCTGGCATGAGATGGCCTTCACGAAGTCCACGGGGTAGTCCACGGCGAGCAGATTAGTGCTCAGGTGCATCTGACTGCAGTTGGTGATCTTCTTCATCATATCCTTGCTGCTGCTTCGAAGCTGGGTTTGACTTTTAGGGGGACGGGTCCTTGGAGCTCTGTTGGCCACAGCCTTGAGCTTTTTGCTGAGTGATGGGTTGGTCTGACGGCCTTTCCTCTTGAGTCCCCGGCGGGCTGCCCGGCAGATGTCACAGGATGGCGTGTGTGGGTGCCACTCTATGGCAGCATTCCTTGGGAAGTATACCTCACGTGGGGCATTGCTGAATCTCCCATACATAACGCTCCAACAGTTGTGGCAAAAGTGGGTGGGGTGGATGGAGTCAATATCCCCTTTCACATCAATTTTAAAAACCTTCGCAATCAGGTCTGGCCAGGAGGTGGCTTTCTTTTCCTTCTTTCGGAGGAGACCCTGAGTTTTACTGTCCACTGGACCATGGACAGGGTATCTCCTATTCTGCCCATCAGCTCTAAAGGAAACACCACAGATGCGACAAAGCTGCCGGAGGCTGGCCTGGTGAATTGCCTTCTCCCGGGCCTTTCCAACATCAGTGGGCTTCTCTAAAGACTTGGCATGGGCTGTGAATGTTGGCTGGACCAGGGCTGGCTTTTCTGGTGCTGGAATGTTGGTGCCGCCTATGACCTCTGGAGTTTCCTCTAGAGAGGCCTGGCCTTCCACTGCATTTTTATTTGGCCCTTGATCTTCTCCAGGAGAAGGCTTCACAAAGGATCTCACTTTGAAGAGTTTGAATTTCCATTCAGAAAATTTCATGTGCGGGTGCTGGATTTCATCTGGTGCAGAGCTAAGTCCTTGACTCAGGGCCACTGGTATTTCCATGGTGGCAAGGATGAGGGCCCCTGGGAACAAATGGAGAAGGTCAGATCAGGTGGAAATTCACGAAATGAATGATAAATGATGACTCTACTGCCAGACACTTCATTTACTCAACTCATAGGTAAAAGCTGATACCACATTATCACTAAAACAAAATAGAGGCAGTTACAGAAAAGGATAACTCCTGGTGTCATGGACCAGCATTACCAGACTGGGTTCAAATCCTGCCTCTGACATTTATTAGCTGTGGGATCCTGGGTAAGTCACTCCCCTATCTGTGCAGAGAGAGAGAGAGAGAGAGAGAGAGAGAGAGAGAGAGAGAAGAAGGAAGGAGACAGAGAGAGAAAGAGAGAGAAAAAGAAAGAAATTAAGAAAGGAAGGAAGGAAGGAATACTACCTGTTGCATCTACCTCCAGGAATTGTCTGTAAAGCTCCAATCAGTCATAGTGTCCACATATAACAGGCACTTAATAAATGCTCGTGGATTGAATTGATAATGTATGTGAAGCCCCTTGCAAACTTTAGCCCATTATATCAATCCCTGCTGTTATTACTATTCTCTACTTTGATTTTCCCCTCGCTGCACTAGCCAGACATTCCATTCCCAGCTTTTGAAAACAGACTTTCAAGGGCTTCATTGTTTATTCCTTCCAAACTGGCCATAAAGAGGAGATAAAACTACAGACCCAAAGAAAATAATTATTCACCAAGTGAAAGGATGAAGCCAACTTGAGCTTTATGAATGCAAGTTAATAAGTATTATGAATTGTAATTATGCTTGCAATTTTAATTAGAGAATGTTGCTGTAAATTATAAGGCTGTATCTACATTGGCTATAAAAATCCATGGATTCCTCAAACTTGCGGGGCACTGTGCCATACTCTCTCTGTTCTGTGGTGCCCTATGAAGAATTTTCCAGATGAAAAGTTCCAAAGGACTTAGATACTCTACAAAGATGATCTGTTGAAGAGTTAGCACGGCTTCACCCAGTTGTCCTCTAATTGGCAAATAGTTGGTTACTGCAGGGTTGTTGGGGGTTTTTGAAGTGGAATGAGGTAGGTGTGGTTATTGCTTTGTGATTAGGATCCCCCAGCAAGTGACCAGTGACATACCATCAATAGTCCAGCAAACACCTACTGAAGACGAATTCTACTTATTGGGATAGAGGCTGATCTAGTGATCTAGGACTACTATTCATAATGCCCTCTAGAATTGCCCCTTACCTACTTAGCTCACCAAATCCACTTGGTATATAAGCGGGAAAACAGTACCTGCGTTTCCTAATTAAGCATTGTAGACTACTCCCTCAAACACACACCACCCACTAGCCAAGTTAAATCTCCCCACATGTGACCTGTACTTCTCTGTCTCAATGTCTTCTCTCATGCCATATGCATCATTCCCTATTCCTACAGTCCCCTGTCCCCACCAACTTTACTTATAAAACTCCTTCAAGTGCCTGTCTCAGAATCTCATCAAAAATAATGCCTAACATTCCTATGTCACTTTAAAGCCTACAAAGAGCTTTACATATTGATCTTTATAACAACCCTGGGAGCAAGAGATATTATTATCCCATTTTGCAGATAAGAAAACTGAGACTGAGAGCAATTAAATGACTTGCCCAGAACCATACAGTTAGGCAGTGTCTGAGGCAGGATTTGAACTCAGATCTTCCTGACTCCAAATTCAATATTCTGTCCAACTGCGCCACCTAGCTGAAATTTCCATTCTCAGAGTTCCCACATTATACCTTTTCTACACCTCTCCAATCATGTCCTTTTTGATAGCATATGCATTTGTGTATACGTCAAATTCTTCCACTAGATCATAAGCCTCATAAGAGCAAAGATAACGTCTTATCGATCCTTGTATCTCCCGCAGCGCTGGGTATAGTATCTGGCACATAGTAGGGCCTTAATAGACATGTATTGAATTAAATTGAACTGTCAATCATAGTGCTAAGATTCAGGTTATATACATTGTGAGCTACTAGACTGACCATTAAATATGTGTTTAATTAAATTGACCTGTCAGCCATTGTCCTAAAATTCTGGCTGTGTCCACTCTGAGCGATTAGATCAATCATTGTGACCAATTGGTTCCACCACACTACTGGTTTTTCACTGAATTAACTGACCACGTTGACCAGAGATTTTTATCACCATAGAGACATAGCCTCAAGCTAACATACCTCTTAGAGTGAACAAAGGGCTGTTCCCCAGATCCACCAACTGACAGTTCACTTTCAAGCTTTTTCCTTTAAACTACTGAAATCTAATCGATTTTCCATGCATGATGCTTCTAAGATGGAGGCTTTTTTAAAATTAAAAGCAATTCTCTTAGAGATGCTTAAAAAGAATGCTAAACGTTCCTTGCACAGAGCAATGTGCTCTCCACAGAGCCCTGAACCATTTCAAAATCCTTCAACGCCTCTCAACCACAGCCTGTCACACACTCCTCAGGGTCTGTCTTCATTCATGTTTCTCAACTCTGTCCCATAGCTTAAGGTGACAGCTCGTTTCTGGAATCTCTTACCAACTCCACTCACTGATTTCTGAGATTATCATTTTCTATCCCCTTGGCTTGTGCCCCTCCTAGCCTCTTTCAGGTAATAATCACAATAAGTGACACATACATCATACTTTAAAACTAACAAAATACTTCACACACATGATCTTATTTGAGCCTCTCAACAACCCTTTAAACTATGGATTGCAGGTATTTTTAACTTCATTTTACAGATGAGGAAACAAAGGTAGATAGAGATTAAGTGACTTTTCCAGGGTCACACAGCTATCAGAGGCAAGACTCGAACCCAGGTCTTTCTAACTGCTGGTCCAAAAAGCTACACAGAATGCTATAAGAATAATAATTCACATTGATACAACATTTTATGGTTAAAGACCACTTTACATACAAAACCAAACTTGATCCTCACAATAATCTGATAGTAAGATAGTTGGGACAAGTATACAGGCTATTCCCAAAAGTCATAGTGCAGTTTTAAGCCTTAGGAGCTTAAATCTGCCTCCTTAACTCCTCCTACTGACTGCCCTTTAAGCTTGAGTAGCTTTAAACTGCACCAGGACTTTTGAGACACTCTGTATTCTCATTTTTATAGGTAAAGAAATTGAGGTTAAGACAGGGTAACGTACTCACTAAGGTCAGACAGGTAATCAGTGGCAGAAACAGGACCTGACCCCAACCTTGTCTAACTCCATTTCCAGCACTTTTTCTGTAACTCCTACCTAAAGCACGCTTGCAGACTTCCACCTACACCTGTTAATATTTTTGAGGTATGTAAGATTTGATGAGAATCAGCACAGTGTAGAGGAAAGAGCCATAGATCTGGAGTGAAAGAACATGGGTTCAAACACCAGCTCTGGCACTTGCTGCCAACATGACCCTGAACCAATAACATAACCACTCTGGGCCTCAGTTTCCTCATTTGTGAAATGTGAATGGTCTCACTTTGAACATGGAGGCAGCATTATACAAAGGCAAGTCAGTAGTCATAGGATTGTTTATTGTTGTTATTTGTCCTTCATTCTTGAAGAGGACCGTGACATCAGGGAGGTGATGCCATGATATGCAAGTGAATTGGATTTAAGTGAGAGGGAGCTGTGCAAAGTCATAGGATTAGAGATAAAAGGAATCTCAGAGCTTATCTAATTTAAACACATCAATTTTCAGAAGAGAAAACTGAGGCCCAGGGAAGTCAACAAGTAGGTGGCACAAAGGATAAAATGCCAGACTTGGAATCAGGGAAACCTGACTCCAAATCCTGCCTCAGACACTTATTAATTGTGTGGCCCTGGGCAAGTCACTTGACTTCTGTTTGCCTCAGTTTCCTCATCTGTAAAACTGGGATAATAGCACTGGGAGGATCAAAGAAACTGATATATGTTAATGCTCTGCAAACCTTAAAGTACTAAAAAAAAGACCTCAGTTGCTTTAGTGGAAACCCACCAAAGCAACTGAGGTCTTCTTTTTTTTTAATCTCAGACAAGCTATGTTCTAACCATACTTCTCTTTCTTATTGTTGTGAAATTGATTTTTTCAAATCTTTATCCTTAGCAAATTTTATTACATGAGATTGGGCCAGATCTTCTAGCCATCCAGGGTGTTGGCCATCCCTCCCAGCTTTCTGCCATCTGCAAATTTGATCAGCTATCTAAGTCATCTATCTAGGTACTTTACCCAAGTTTTTGACAAAAACGTGAACTACCACAAGGTTGAACATAGATCCTTGAAACATTCCACTGGTAACTAGTATAAGAAATGCATCCATGATCATTTTGAAAACCTTCAAAAACAGGCTCTTCACCACTCAACTCACTTTTTAACCTCTTAATTAACATTATTAGCCAAAACATAACACCAGTTATAAGACCATCCTGCCCACAGCCATCAAAATAATTTTCCTAAAGCACAGGTCTGATCACACCCAGGTTCTGCTCAATAAACTGCCATGGCTCCCTATTACTTCTTGGACCATTGTTATTCCAACTCTCCTGCTACTTTGAAGTTTACAACTTCATCTCTCTGGACCCCAGTTCCCTCATCTGTAGAATGAGGGAGTTGAAGTAGATAACCTATGAGGTCCTTTCCAGCCTTAAGTAAGTAATCCTAGGCTTTCCATTTTACAGAAGAGTAAACTGAGTTTCAGGGAGTTTACATAACTTGAATAAAGCCACATAGTGGCACAACCACAGGTTTTCCAAATCAAAATTTAGTACTCATTTCACAATGTGCCCCACCCCCAAGTCAGAAGACAGAGTTGCCTGGCCCTAAGATATTTGGCAAGGAACACTGCTTCTGGGATCATCCCTTTAGAATAAAATCCTTTATTACTTGATAGAAAGGCAGGTTGTATAGGGCATAGAATGCTGGAATTGGAATCAGAAAGGCCTCATTGAAATTCTATCTCTGACATTTACAAATTATCTCATCATGACAAGTCACTCAGCCTCTCTGAAGCTCAGTTCTCTCATCTGTAAAAAGGGATCCATGATGCCTA